GCGAATCATCGGAGAGTGTGACTGACTTTGAGTTATCGGCCCCTTTTATTGTATCAGAATTGATCACATTATCTCCCATCCATCTCCGTACATTCATCTCTGGCGAAAGTGGTTGTCCGAAGCGCATAATGGACAGATTAGAAGAAAACCTCTGTTCTGGCAACACTCAATATTTCCCCATTAGTGCCGTGGCCTCGGGGATTAGACCTTTGCCACACATTAAAGATGTCAATACTGCTAATATTGTTTTTGGAGGTCCTCCACCTTCTTAGAGCTACAGCTTGTGTAACCAGATCTGTTTGATAAGATCTATCGAACAGCTCTGAGACTGGCAGTAGGGGACCTATAGGTCCTGTCCTCCATTTGAGAGGGGAAGACTGAGGGATAAAAGAGTGTTTGTCTATTTCAGACCATTAGAGATCACATCATCTTTATTCACTGAACATGCTAGTTCCTGATTGAATAAAGGCCTACACACAAAATATTCAATGCACATTGAAATAAGATTGAATGTGTGGCACAAATTATTTATTAAATTATTATTTTTTACAATTTAAATACACACTAACTGTCTCTCATTTCGCTATTAGAGAATACATCTTAGTCGGATTTGAGTGTTTAGGGTGTTAACACCAAACATCGCAATTTAATGGACACTATATATTATATATATTCAACTACAACGCAATGCACAAAGGAAATATAGGAACTGCTCATAACTGCAAAAACATATGTGCAAGAAAACAGAAAAAAGTAATATTTTACTGGTCATTTGTATTTTGTAACTGCAATGACAAATTGCACATACTGTGTACGAGGGAGTGTGGCCTAACTACTGTACATATTGTATTCATATTGTACTCACACTAGAAAATAGGTAAAATGATTTATACTCGAAGGGCACATAATACATACCTAATACAGTCACTTTTTGGGGTACTGATGAACATGTATGTCCCATAATGCACAAATGAAATACATCAAAAAATGTATTGTTGTCAGTTCTAAAAAAATTCAAAAACACAAGCATTTAACCTTAGTAAAAACATTTAGCTTTGATTTGAAAGCTGCTTCCGGAAAATTAAATGTAATAAAGTATTATTGGCAGTAGTATTAACTATATAAAACTATGGTTTGGATTTGTCATAGGAATACAAAAAAGAAGCAATGATACATTTCCACCACAAGAGAGCCCCATTGCACTTCCTCAGAACACGAACACACAAAAACAGCAACTGTGTAGTGTATTAATCATGCAACCTTACAAACAGTACCTAAAATAGATTTACCAAGATCACACCTACTCTAAGTCTGATTAGATTTTAAATCAAACAATTTTAAATATAGAACCAACATTTAAAAAATGGTCTTGTAATTGTATATTTGAATTCTACTTTCAAATCAGTGCAAAATGAAAGTATATGTTTCTGTGAATGATTTCAAACATTAGGGCCCACTCTTCCCAGAGTGCTGGCTCGTGAATAACTGTAGATTGAATCACGGCTCTCAGCTCTGTCCTATATATTATTTCAGTGGTAAACATATACTCCTGCATGTGAGGATGTCCTCTTGATTGCAGCGGTGCTGAGGTCATATCCATTGGGATGGCCTGTTGGTGTGTGGACAGGATGAGGAATAGAGCCCTACTTTCTGAGTTAGATAAATACCTCCATCCGCCTTACTAGAACATTCACCAGGGACAACACAAAGACCAAAATCAGCAATACATAAGCATCAATAATTAAGCAGCCACACACAGTGAGAGTGAGAGGGTGAGGGGAGGGTGGGGTCCTGCATGAGCACGAGGTCTGCTCTGAAATGATCCTAAATGCTACTAATTTCGCTTAACTCCGTCACAAAATGGAGCAGGTTGTATTTTATTTGAGCAAAAGGACACAGCTGCAATGCACCGTAGTGTCTTCCTTTGTTTCGGTTTTTAATGTTGTTTTCTGTCTACTAATTGCTTTCTTTCCATCACTTGTCTCTCTGGCTCTTGTTTCTGTTAGTTTTCATAGATTTCTCTCAGACAACTAGATGTATTTGGTCAAACTATCCTATTAACAACTACACCCTATGACCCAACCTAGCTCCTCCTGTGCCTTATCATTTATTTATGAGAGCCACTATGAGAGCAATGCTGGACAAAACAACTGTGATGTCATTGCTTTTATTTGTATCAGTGTGTTGAGACTGAATGACAGCTTCCCATTTGCCAGTAGCTTGTAAAGCTGAAACAAAAAAATAACATTCAAACCTTAAGACAGCCTATAAGATGTCTCAAGAATCACATAACATTAAAAATATAGCTCACTCTATTCAACCAAATCTATCTAGGAAAGGCTGTGTGGTTTAGTTGTTTAGTCCTTATTTTCAACACACACACACACACACACACACACACACACACACACACACACACACACACACACACACACACACACACACACACACACACACACACACACA